GGGAGAACAAAAAAAAACCCACCCCTTTTTACCTGAACCTTTCCTTCCACAAAATTTAATTTCAAAAGGTCCTTTATGGGGAATATAAGAAAATATTTTTTCTCTTGTAAAGGAAAAAAAAAAAAAAATCTCCAGCTGTTGCTACCCCAGAATTTAAATCTCCCATTCTGAGTAAATACCTTTACAATGACCAGTAAGACTCCCATAGTTTTAGTTAGATCAAATTGTATGGATGTAAGTCCCACTAATTAGAGTGGGCATACTACTCAGAGAAGCATCACATTTAGAACCAAGTACAATACAACAGGCATCTGGTAAAGGAGTTAAAATCTTGGCTGAGAGAAATGAATGCAGGTGAGTAAATAATGCATCTGACATTTGGAGTCCTCTAGTGGTAAAGCATGGGAGTAACAAGCAAATCTCAGTTTCTAAACTGAATTTTGAGTACAAGTTTTTAGAGTTATTTTTAAATGGAGGATGAAATAGTGAAAATTTTTAGAGAAACTGGTACCCAAATCCCACTGAAGACCTAATTCCCACCTGTAACCATGCTTACATTTCTAAACAACCAATTTAATACGTTCTGAAATATAATGGGAACACGTTTCAGTTTACATGCCCTACTTCCATTAACTTTTTTCCTAATAACTGTGCAACATCAAATGTATAAGCAGCTGTGGGAGTACGGACTGGCACCCCAGACATTCCCTTTCCAGGCCTGTGCTGGAACCACCACTGTGCAGAAACATGTTTCCTCTTGTGCGGTCTTCTTTGGGTGTCATTAATTTTGCCGTCCTTTTTGCACAGCAGCCCAGCTGCAGTAGGAGGGACAGACTGTCATACCCACAATAGATTAAAAGATTCATAGATTGTAAGGGGCTGGAAGGGACCTCGCAAGATCATCAGGTCCAGCCCCCCCACACTAGGCAGGAACGACAACTGGGGTCAGGTGATCGTCCAGTCTCCTCTTGAAGATTTCCAGGATAGGTGATTGCACCACCTCTGGAGGGAGTTTATTCCACAGTCTGGACATCCTGACTGTGAAGAATTCTTTCCTAATGTTGAGCCTGAAACAGTCTTCCAGGAGTTTGTGGCCATTACTCCTGGTTTTCCACAAGGGTGCCCCGGTGAACAGTTGTTCACCGAGTCCTTGATGTATTCCCCTGATACAGTGGTAAGCAACTACAAAGTCCCCTCTCAGCCTTCTCTTTTTCAAGCTAAAGAGACCCAAGTCCCTCAGCCTTTCCTCGTATGGCTTGCCTTGCAAGTCTCTGATCTTATGGGTGGCTCAGTTAGATAAGCTTTTGAATGTCAGACCTAATGAAGAATGTTTTGCATTCTTGCTTACCATTGGTCCAATAAAAGATATCACCCTAAGAAATCCCAGCCTCTCTCATTATTGCTTTTAAACAGTGGAGAAGTTAAAAAATAATGACCTGTCAGATGGCTGAAAAATAGAAAGATTTTTTTATATCA